GAGATTCGGGAACATACCTGTTCGTGTTGTTGCGGTCAAAGCCGCTGGTGACCTGGACTCTTAAATTGTATAATATCACAATTTTGAGTGGATTTCCAATTTGCACCGCTTCATGTGTTGGCTCTCAAATGTGGTGTGAACATTCATCTGAACCTTCTCGAGGTGCACATTGTGTTGTGAGTTGGATTTTGCAAGGTTCATTGCACTGCTCAGAGCAGCTGGGTGCCCCTGTGTACATACGGATTTCTCTGTTATATGAAGTAGCCAAGCGTGTGTTCAGTTTCCAATTTCAGCCAGCTTCCCGTCAAGTGTGATTTCATCTCAATCATGTTTGCAAGAGAGATGGCGCACGCAAATAGTTCAGATGCTTGAAAATCGTCACACAACCCATCTGATTAAGGCATCTACTCTTCCTTTACTTTTTCTTTTTTTAATTTGGACTATTTCTCGATTTACTTGTGCCATCCTTGCGCAGGGGCCATGCTAATCTTCTCTGTACCGTTCCATTCCTATTATCTTACTTCCTTGATCCTTTGAGACTTTCTCTTCAAAATTTATAAGCACAAATTATGGTCGAACTTGGAGCGCTGAAAAGTTCAAGCAATGCCACCAAGCCCCCACCTACACCAAGTAGGATGACCTACCACGACCAGCGTGAATACCGCCACACACCTCGGCTGAAATCTACGGCAATGGAGGTTAAGCGTGACCACCTTATGATGATCGCCATTCAGGCAACGATCACATGAGAATGCTACACACTCACAACTTGGTATTCTAGTGACGTTACGAAAGCCAACTTTACAAAAAGTACTAGTACTCTAGTGACGTTAAAGCCAACTTTACAAAAAGTACTAGTACTCTAGTGAGGCTATGAAAGGCAACTTTACAAAAAGTAGAGCTCAATCGCATAAGACAGAATCGGCTCAATCGCATAAGACAGAATCGCAGTGGGAACTGCAGGAGGGAGGGAGGAAGGGGACATGGGCATGAAATGAGAGAGGGGATGGCACGGACACAAGATTTTCAAAAAGCGGCAGAATCGCAGAGGGAACTGGAGGGAGGGCGGGGACATGGACATGAAATGACAGGGAATGGCACGGACAATAGATTTTGGAAATGCGGGCAGGGGAGGGGAGAGGAGGCAAGGAAGGGAGTGGGAGTAGACAGGGTAAGAGACAAGAGGACAGGAGAGGTGCCAAGAGAAAAATCAGAAGAGAGAGAACAAAACAGCAGAGACCAGAATGAAACACATCAAATCGGAGTGGAAAAGAGCGGAGCAAGGCAGAATACGACTGCACAAACAGATGAACGGAGGAGGCGTTAAGGCCCTCTTCTTTCAACTACACTGTTAACTGTCACACCGTATGACCACACAGCGGTCTAAGAGAAGGCTGGGAAGGAGAGAACAGCAATTGCTATCACGTTGAATGGTCTGATTCCTCCAATACAAATATTCTCCAGTGGCAGCCTGAGCTTTGTCGTAGCCGCCTGCAGCAGATTTTTCACGTATTGACATCGAGTCCATTCCGTTTGAGCCCTGACCGGTTTCACGGACGCCCGTACCCTCGCCTCGACTGAATTTTGGTCGAGGGTCACAAGAAGTATCACACCGAGTCCATAGCCGGCCGATGGTCACCCACCTCCTAACACGTATCTCGTCCATTAGTACTACTGCCCCGAGGAGGAGTCCCTTATATGCATGTATGTGCTTCATGCTCAGTGGGGTATAGAGCTTGCTTCAGCCTAGTCCATCGACCCTTCTCCTCCCTCGGCTCCAAACCCTGCTATGCTTATAACTTATTCCCCAAGCACCTTTACCCGTTGGAGCACGATATGGATAACTGTATGTGGAAGAAGATGGTTGGAAGAGGAAGAAGAAGAAGAGTGGATGTGTAGGCAAAGAGATATCTGCGCGCATTTCGGAAACGGCATTCATCCATGGTCGTGCACGTACAAACCTCCATAGCTTATAGACACGCTGATTCCACAATGAACGAGGAGGAGGAGGGATAGGGAACGACACATGCAACAGAACAACGAGCTTGGGCCAAATATGCAGTCCAACAACATGACGATAGATGGACACCGAAGTAGCAGCTATACCTTGAGTCAGTCGTAAGCAACGCTCGTGAAAAAGCGGTCTCTGCCTTTTGGAAAAAATGGACTCCGCGGGATAGGGGAGGAAGCATGTAAGACGGCACGGAGCTTGTGGTAAATACACACAGTCCGATCACCATCAAGCTAGATAGATGGAAATCGAAGTAGCAGCTATACGTGGAGTCAGCTGCATGTAATGCTCGTCAAACAGCGGTCTTTGCGCTTAGGAAAAATAGACTACAGAACTCGCATTGAACTTTCGGTCAATGCTGCTCTCGGGGTTGATCGAGGGAGGAGGTATGCAAGACGCAGATGGTGCAATCTGGTTTGCCCGCCCAGTTGCAGCACAGACACACAAGCCGTACATAACCTGTCGAAATCTGAGAGCACAAGTCGATGAGGAAGCATCCCCTCCCCCCTCTGCTCCACCCAGACGGGTAGTGCAAGGGCCTACCACGCACCCTACTCCTGAAGAACAATCCTTCAGTCAACATCTTAGCTTGCTCGGGGCCTCGTCTTTGCACCGTGACATCCACTTGCCCTTACTCTGGAAGGCCTGGAAGGCCCTGCCTCCGTGGGGGCATTCTCTCACTACCCTCGTCCACTGGGAAGAGTAGCGCAATCCAACCAGGCAGGTTTCTCCAGGCGGCCATGCACCCTGCAGCTTAAGAACGATGCCTTGGTAGCTTCTTTTGCCAGCAAACTGGGCCTCGTCTCTTCACTGTAACGTTCAATTCCTCTTGCC